CCTTCTCTCCCTCTCCCTCTCCCTCTCCCTCTCCCTCTCTCTCTCTCTCTCTCTCTCTCTCTCTCACACACACACACACACACACACGGTCCAAAACTGGTCACCAGTGCCAAAAGGCTGACAATCTCTGCCCTATACTATTCCAGATGAGAGGCTGTCCCGTCTCTTCTTCAAAGCTCCAATAATGGAGGCCAGCTGTTCCACTGGTTAATTGTTCTCCCTGTTAGGAAATTTCAGCTTAGTTCTAGGTTGCTTCTCTCCTTGATTAGTTTCCATCATTTCTTGTCTTGCTTTCTTGTGCTTTGTAAAATACACCGACCCCCTAATTCTACTATTACATTTTAACTATGTTAATATATGGCAATTCTGTGGTGATACAATTATTAGTAATTTGCGGAGAGAAAATATAAGGATAGAGTTAGCATGACTGCTTGGTGCTAAGCTTATTCAATTGGTAATATCTCCTTTGCACAATGCCTCATTTGTTTATTTGAAGAGAGAGCGGCAAATGGCAGATTGTGTATAAATCCAACTTTTAGCATTATGAATCTTCTTTGTTTTATTTAATTCAGGTGGAATATGAAGGCTTGAAACATGAGATAAAACGATTTGAGGAAGAGACGGTGTTACTTAATAGCCAGCTAGAAGACGCCATCCGGTTGAAGGAGATTGCTGACCATCAGCTAGAGGAGGCCTTGGAGACCTTAAAGAATGAAAGGGAGCAGAAGAACAATCTGAGGAAGGAACTGTCTCAGTATATCAATTTAAACGATAGCATGTATAGTAATCACATTAATATCTCAGTAGATGGATTAAAGTTTGGAGAAGATGGGAATGAACCCAATAATGATGACAAGATGAATGGACATATTCATGGTCCTCACATGAAACTGAATGGGGATTTTCGGACTCCCAGCGTTAGGAAAGGAGAATCTTTGCACCCCGTCTCTGATCTCTTCAGTGAGCTGAACATCTCTGAAATGCAGAAACTGAAGCAGCAGCTCATGCAGGTAACATGTTATAAATGTTCCTCTTAGTTGTAAATGTTCACGTGGTGTGCAAAGATACCGGAAGCATTTATTTCCCTGAGAAAAATTATTTGGAAAAAAAAAAGTAAACATGCCTTAAAAAAAAAAAAGCGATTGCATCTCCACTTCAAATGTACTGTATCTTAACAGCGTGTTTTGTGTATTTTTCACTTTGGGGTCCTTAGTGGTCCCTGGCTTTCTTGTAGATATTTCATTACCAAATTAGGTAATGTCATCAGCAGAGGTGGTATTCAGCAGGTTCTGACCAGTTCTGGAGAACCGGTAGAGGAAATTTTGAGTAGTTTGGAGAACCGGTAAATACCACCATTGACTGGCCCTGCCGCCATCTATTCTCTGCCTCCTGAGTCCCAGCTGATCGGGAGGGAATGGGGATTTTGCAGCAACCTTCCCCTGGAGTGTGGAGGGAATGGAGATTTTACAGTATCCTTCCCCTGCCATGGCCGCCAAACCACGCCCATAGAACCGGTAGTAAAAAAAATTGAATCCCACCACTGGTCATCAGTCCTGATGACATTTTTAATGAAACGTGAGCAAGAAAACCACCAAGCTTGGAGACCTCTAAGGACCTATAGTTCAAACCTCAGCTACACATATTCTCTTCTATAAATTTTTTACTTTGTCGGATTCAGTTTTGAAATGCTGCCGCCGTTTTTTTACTACTACTACTACTACTACTACTACTACTACTACTACTACTTTTGTTGCCCACCTAACATAAAAATAATCCTGCTTCATTGAGCTAAGGTCCACCTAAGCCTAGCATTTGCTTTTCACAGTGGCCAGTAGAGAGATCACGAGCTGGAGTAGGAGACATAACCTCTCCCCTACTTATTCCCTGCAGCTGGTATTTAGAGGGAAGTTGTTCCTAACCGAAGGGGCCCCAAGAACTGCTCTCACCACCTCACTCTGCAGTAGTTGTAGCTTCTGAAATGTTCTTCAAGGGGAGCCCCATGTAGACCACACTGAATCAATCCAAGCATGAGATGATGGAGGGCTCGAGTGACTGAGCATGTATTACAGTTGGTCATTTTATTCGTGTTAGTGTTAAGTTTATATCTATCTTAATACTTTATAACTTTATATTTAATACCACCCCATTCACTTGGGAAAAGAAAGGTAGGTCACTTGCAGGTTGTCAACCCAACTGGATGGACAAGTGCCCAAGTTATGGCTTCCTGATGTTAACAAAGATCATTGCCGACTTTGCTTTATTTATTGGGAGAAGTCACTTGTCATATTGCCCTCTATCTCCATCTGAATGGGTTGCCCTCCTTCAAGAGAAGGCAAGGGCTTATTTACTTCCTGTTTAACAGAGATTCTGATCAGCATTGCCTTGTTTTTCTGATGTTCTTTACAGAACCTAATTGTCTTTCTAATGGAATACTTTACAGGTCAATGTTGCACTATAATATAATTTATCCTGTCCCATCTTCTGCCCTTCTATTTTTGCCCCATCATTTGCATGACTAAATAAAGGATTTTCTATACAGGTCCAGTAATGTGAACCAATGAGATTTTATCTTTTCCTTCCGTCCCAATGTATAAATTGTGATGCTGAAAGTGTTGTGAAATTATTCCCAAGCATCCTTGTCTTCCATATGGAATGAATTGGGAAAAGAGCTCTACGCCTTTTGTGTTCTTGGGATAATAGGTTCCCTTGTACAGATAATCAATTTGGTGGCAATTGCCAGGTCTTAATGCATGTTGTTGTTGTTGCAAAGTCATGTTCAATCCGTGACCCCATGGACAATGTTCCCCCAGGCCTTCCAGTCCTCTACTATCCTCTGGAGTCCATTTAAGCTCACACCTACTGCTTCGGTGACTCCATCCAGCACTTCATTCTCTGTCTTCCCATTCTTCTTTTGCCCTCAATCTTTCCCACCATTAGGCTCTTCTCCAGTGAGTCCTTCCTTCTCATTTGGTGGCCAAAGTTTTTGAGCTTCATCTTCAGGATCTGGCCTTCTAAAGAGCAGTCAGGGCTGATCTACTCTAGGGCTGATCAGTTTGATCGCCTTGCAATCCAAGGGACTCGCCGGAGTCTTCTCCAGCACCATAGTTCAAAGGCTTCAATTCTTTGGCTCTCAGCCTTTCTCGTGGTCCAACTTTCACAGCCATACATTGCAACTGGGAAAACCATAGCCTTGACTATATACACTTTCTTTGGCAGGATGATGTCTCTCCTTTTTAGTATGCT